GTCGCGGTTTCTTGCTGGACGCGAGGGGCGCGGGCGGGGGTGGGCTCTTTGGGATCGGCCGCGCACCCCTAAATCTTGGGGGACGCCTCCAAGAGAAGGGAGAGGATGAGGGCGTGGGACCCGTCCTTCAGGATCCCCGCCTAGCCTGGACGCTGGCGGGGCGTGGAAAAAGTGAAGCCTGGCACAAAGTTGAGCGGCGTGGCAGCCTTGCCTGTGCTGGCGTGGCCAACCCTGTGGCGAAGCTGCTTTTCCTTTATTTCAGGGGTCCCCTTTGGCGCCCCTTTGCCTTTGTTAGGCGCAGACACTGCCATAAAATGGTACTCCAGCTGAATGGCTGGATCGTTACACGTTTGGGGTGGGGACGGGCTTGTTCAAAGCGCTACACCGAGCGGGAATACTCCCTTCAGCACCCGGAGGGGGACAGCTCCGGAAAACACCCTCGTCGTGGGGATAGAAACACCAATGGATCGCCTGTTATTTGCGGCAGGGGGCGAGGGTGGGGGCGGGCAGAGGAGCTGCTAAAATTCGGAATATCTTCGAATTCACCTCTCCAGTCCGACTGATTGACCAGCTCTCCCTTCAGGGACCCCAGTGAGTACCCTGAATTTGCCAACCTGTGTCCTTAGAAGGCAGGGCAGGAAAGCCGATCATGTCTTTCATGAGCAAGTGCAAGCACAGGAGGTCTCTTTTCTTTTTAAAATGGGCATGTTAATAATTTTATTCATGAATACACAATCCCTTCTTTAATCAATGTCATACATGTGTGGATAGACTGAGTGCACGTTTCTTCCTTAATAACTCCAGATTTAAAAGTGATGGAATGTTAAAAACAATCATATTGTCCTTTAAAAAGTTAAATGCTATTTCTCCAGCCAACTGATAGATCATAAACTAAGCAGCCATTCTGCTCTGGGAAATGCAGGTGGAGGTAGCGAAACAAAGAAGGATTCAAAAGAGGGGAGGGGGAAGGAGGGAGGGAAGGAAGGAAGGAAGGAAGGAAGGAAGGAAGGAAGGAAGGAAGGAAGGAAGGAAGGAAGGAAGGAAGGAAGATAAAATGAGGGAGGGAGGAAGGAAGGGAGGAAAGGCAGGCAGGCAGGCAGGCAGGCTGACTCTAAAGTACCAAGACAAATAAAGGGATGTCCATGACAGCAGTAAGAAGGAAGTGCACCTGGTGAATCTCCCAGGAGAGGTTGGAACCAGCCCTGTGTTGATTCGTTTAATCTAGAATTCTATGTATCTGTGTCATTTCAGGGCATTTTATGGGGAAGAAGAGTCCCCTGAGCCCCACCCCTCTCCACTCATCATCCTTGGAAAGAGCAGAGCCCAATCATATCCCCAGAGCCTTCAGTCCAGCAGTCACTAGCATTGTAGATGACACGAAGGACCTACTGACAAGAGAACTTCTCAAAATCCTGTTGCAACAGAAGCTTCTGGAAGAGAACCAAGGCAAACAGGATCCCAAAGAGCAGGTGAGATCCCTCCAATTTCCTGTTTGGAAGGAATGTGCAATTGCCAGGGCTCCACAGAGCTAGTCACGAGGCCCACCCTTACTTTCTCAGCCTCCAGGCATCCTCCTTCCCTACGCATTTCTCATATAACTCCAACCATGCCCTTTCTCAGGGAGCTGATTCACTGCCGTGCAAAATGCTGGAGGGCTGGTACTTGGCCTGCCACCTCCAGTTGGGTTCTTATGGCTGCAACATCTAGCCTAGCTTTTGCATTCTTCTTTCTCCTCCTCCTCTTCCTCTTCCTCCTCCTCTTTCGTCTCCTCCTCCCCTGCCTTCTCTCCCTCCTCCCAGCTGTTCATAATCAAAAGAATTGCCCAACTATGAGACCAACACAGATCTCTTAAGTTTTTCTTTTTCCTTCTTCTTCTTGTTCCTGGTGGGACTGACTGAAAAGGAACACGCAGGGAGCTTTGCAGGAAGTTTAAAAGAGGTTGAGGGCTGCTTGGCATGAATGAAAGGCACTGAGAGAGATTTCAGAGAAAGCCAGCAACACTTAGATCCAAACTGTTGGGAAGCCAACCAGATAGGCAAGAAGGTCTTCTCCTGAGCCAGAGTCTTGATCCATCCTGCCCAGGACTGTCAACCCTGACTCTCAACATGGATTGAACTTGGATTTTCTGCAAACCACACAAAGACAATGTCCCTTCCCTAAAAATAAGATGATGTTTCTAGTCCCCGTGATTCTGAATGAAATACTGATTTAGATAAGAAGCATTCCCCACTCCCACTCCATTTTTTCAGCCAAGAGTTTTGCCACTCTTTCCAGAGATGGAATTGAATCTGGAGCTTTCTGCAGTTCAAAACGTGAGCCATGTTTTTCTCCTCTATTTTACCCCTAGGTCACATTTCCTCCATGCACTCAAAAGGGCAAATCCCCAACTGCTTTATCTCACCTCGACCTCTTTGTTTACTGCTATTGTCCTACAGGACAAACAACAGAGACTGGACTTGTGCATTGTGCAAAACCATCCTAGGTTTCTTCGGTCTGGAGGGATTCTGGTTTAGAGACAGGCCACAAACAGCAAGTGGAAAAGCCCACTTTGGCTCCTCCAGCAGGATGGAGAGGGCTGCCTCTTTTGGGCCTCCGAGGTGGTGAACGTGCTATCTGTTCTGCTAATCTGTCACCTTCTACTCTCGTTTTCCATTACAGGAAATGCCGTCATTAATGAAGTTGCTGGCAAAATACATTTAATGGCAAAGAACCGAGAAAGATGTGATGAACTATGGCACAAAGGTAGAGACATTCCTGAAGGCCTTTCTCAATCATAGATAGATAGATAGATAGATAGATAGATAGATAGATAGATAGAAAGAAAGAAAGAAAGAAAGAAAGAAAGAAAGAAAGAAAGAAAGAAAGAAAGAAAAGTACTATGTGTGGAAAAGAGAGAAAACACCCACTAATTCCCTGTGCCACGGTTGCTGGGGGAGGGGGAAGGGGAGAAAGACATCATCCATAAATGCCTGTCCTTACACATTGGGAAGCAAGGTTTTCAGCAATGTGCAAACTGCACGGGTACATCCTATAGTAAGAACTGCACTGCAGTATCACTTTGGTGACGTGCAGAAGAATCCAAAGATTGCCAAGCAATACACATTAGCTTGTCTAGATCTTTTGTGTGTGGTCTACTGCAGAACCTAAAAAGGAGAGACGACAAAGAGCAGTCAACCTCATCCTTCTGTTAGCTAGGACTCCAGGCTCTTTGCTCCTTTTGGTAAATAGAGTCCACCAAGCAACCTTTGCGTGCAAAATGGTATCTACTTCAAGAGACATGTATATCCTGCTGGAAGTCATGCCATAGAGCTATGGTGGAATTTGATGTCCAGGGGAGGGTGAGTGATGGTGGGAGTAACTTTGGGGACCTGGTTCCAAACTCTGACCAACACAGTCAAGGTAGCAGCCTTGATTCCCGAAGTCCATAAGCCTCCAGAGACATCAATCATTTCCAGAATTTTATTAAAAAATAAGATGGCTACAGTAATGCTGCTAACAAAACACAAGAGCTACAATCAGGTCGTAGACGAAATTTGCTAAGGCACCCTCACTGCTTCTCAAGTGTTCCCTTGGAGAACTGTGCTCAGCCCAGAAATACACAAGGATAGCTCCAACAGCCAGGGATGTAGTTAGTTACCCCATAAGTACCTTGAGAAGCCCACTTCTGACTGGGAACCAGGCCACTCTTTTTGGAGATGCCCATAAGGACGTTGGCAAACAAAACAGATGATGGTCATGCATGGTATTCATCTAAAAGTGCATTTTGCTAATGCTTCCCAGTGAATGTTTACTCAGCCCACGGCTCCAGATTTGCTATTTGTTGCTAGAATGCCTACCTCCTAAGGAGAGGAGGAGGACTCTCTTGCACGTGTATGTTGCCCCTGGTCCATCTGCTAAGCCTGATACTGAAAATAAATAAAAAAAACCTGAACTCTAGGCTAGGGTGATCCAGACCCTGCAAATGTACAGGTATGATTGTTTGATTTTGTTTTGCTAGGCATGAGATGAAACCAAGTAACCCAGCAGCCTTTTCTTTTTTACATCTACGGTGCCTTCAAACAATGTGAAGCTGATTGACAAAACCTTTGGCCGGAGACAACTTTGTAGAGAGGAAATAGCTACCTTCCATTAAACATTTCTGCTCACTCAATGCTACTCTAGCCTTCCTAAGTCCTGTGACTGGGGGTGCCAGGAAAGGCTGTGTTCTTCTAGGACAACACGTTGGATGTTTTTTTGATTGTATGTTGATGTGTTGTTTGTATGTTGCAAGCCACCCAGAGTTGATTGGAATCAGGCAGTGCCTAAGTCAAATCAAATAAATATTCAGAGTTGGGGAAAATCTTGGGCCCATGGGCTGGGGAAGAATCTCCATTCAGCAGAACCATCCCCAGTATTTTGGTGCTTGATACAAAGGACCCATCCTCCAGTTACAGCAGCTTCTCGGTAGTTGGATCAGAGTCTGTTGTGATACACCATACATGTCATCCAACTTTTTCCTCCCTCTTTCAGTATCTGCTGCTCAAAGCATGTGCCTCCCTCTACCTAATGATAGGGCAGGCCCTCAGTGGCAGGCAGGGGGAACCTTAGCAAATAGGGTATCCCAATGGGATCTGCCTGTGCATACTCCCCTCCTGCTAACACTACAACCATCTCTTTTACTGGCACCACTCCTTTCCTGGTATGGCTGGTGTTGGCACCAGAGCCTCCAGGAGAAGTGCTTCATGCTTGTTGACCCAAACAGTGCATTAATGAGGCTGATCTACCAAGGCCTATAATGGCACAAAAAGGCCAGGTTTGGAGTCAGTTCATAAAAGTGCATCATTCCTTCCCAGTAGCTTGGCCAGGACATCACACAGTCCGTGTCCCTTAAGAAAGACCAGTTCAAGTAAGTCCCATGCCAGGTTTTGCTTTAGCTGTTCTTGATGGTCAGTTTGAAATCAGGCTGAGAAGAAAGTGTCTGGGTCTGATGGAAGTAGGGGTTGATGTGCACCTCGCCCAACATGCCTTCATCATCCTCTTCATCCTCGGCCAGGTCAAAGAATGCTTTCAGGAAGTTTGGCTGGGTGAAGTGCAGGGCAATCACGACTGTGCCAATAAGGAAGCAGAAGAGCCCTGGAAGAGAGGGAGACCAGCAGCATGAAACAGAGACACCCTCAAAACACCACTCAGCCTTGCTTTCCAACACACGTGCTGTACCAGCACATGGTACAGATAATCAGACCAGGTAAAAGGCTAATAAGCATATTTGCACCACTTTCTGACTCTGGTTGTATTAAGCCTTGCTTAGAGTCATGGGGTTGGTTTGCTTTTTGTTTGACTGAGTTATGTGCACCCAAACTGTTGTGATGCACGTAAAAAATTAAGTGTGCTTTGATCGCACCATCATGGCTACCCCCTTGACTTTCTTGACCACATCCTGTAGACACCCCTGCAAGCCCACCCAAAGTCAGAGGAGACTGTCCTGAAGACGACATTTTAATCTATTCAGCCTATTTCACAAGGTCAGTGTGAAGATCAAGAGAAAGAAACAGTGACTGCTGTGAGCTCCATAGATTAAAAAATGGAGAGGAATGGCCAGAATTGAAATTCCCTCATTTCTTCACTACCATCCAGGAAATACCCTTTGGGATGCTTACCTGTGGCCAGAGTGAGCCAGAACGATGCCCCATAGGCCAGCTGCAGAGATGCCAACCCAAACTGGATGACACACCAGGCGTTCCTCCCCGTGGAGAAGGACAGGAGTGCGAAGATGAGGAAAGCCCCTGTGACGAGAATCATGTAGCCGCCATACACTGGGACCGGCATGGAGAACAGCATGTTGGAAACAAGCCACGCACAGAATGCCACCCTGCAGTTGCAAAGAAGGAGCCACAGTGGTTAGAACTCAGGGGGCAGAGGAGGTCTGGATTCAGACTGGGCCCTTTCCAATTGGAAGGGCCTCCGCTGGAAAGAGGAATGGCGCTGGGCAGAATACTTTGCCCCACCTGGTTCCCTGCCAATGTGTTGGACTCAGATTCCACTCCCCATCAAAGTGTGTTGAAAATGCAAGGGATTGTTTCCTTTGGGGTTCTGTTCTTTTGCCCCCCACATTAGCCTTGAGCCCAAAGCACAAGAGGCAACAGGGACAGAAATCCCACTAGCCTTGCAAAGGGGCTCCCCTTTTCTATGCTCTTTGTAGCTCCTGGGAGAAATTGAAAGGGGGACAGGCAATGGGGCATTACCCTGAAGAGGCTCCCCCCAACATGGGCGTTCTCGATGGGAAATGATCAGAAGGCTTAGGACCTGTTTTCCTTCAAGGCTGTAGAACCAGCCACTTAACCTCCTGAATTATTTCTGTATTTTGCATTTCCCCACACGGGGCTGTTTGGCTTCCGTGGACTGGAAGCAGTGGAGGAGAAGGTTAGACTGATGTCAGATGAAGTGGAAAGAGCATGTGCTTGGGACTTGCGGGAGCCTTCAGCCCTAGGACAACCTGGGAGTCCTTTAAAAAGCCCGCTAAGAATGGCATGGGGAGGGGAGGGAGAAGAGAAATTCCTAACAATAGGAGCTGTTCAACAGAGAGATGGTTGGTGGCTTCAAAAGGTGGTGGGATTTCTTTACGCAGAGGTTGGATGGTCCTCTGCCAGAAACATCAACCTGGCCCAAGGCCCAAACTTCTCCCATCTTTCTAGTTTCTGCCTGGATGAATCTACCTTTGAGAAACAAAGTTCCCCTTACCAGAGGGTTGCTGATGCATAGTGACCAGCCATGCGGTAGACACTGTTCAAGCCACAGGGGCTGTGCTCAGCAAACTTCTCTGCCACATAGAGGATGGGACTGGGCAATCCACGTTGCAGGCCTTCTTCAAACTCTTTGTCGTAGTCGGCCCCAAACCACCACGAAAACTGTTCATTATAATTGATGGTTTCATTAAGCTGATCCACGGGTTTTCCTGCAAAGAGCCAGGGGCACATGGTGAGCACCTAAACAGGAATAGGATTTAGAACTGGAAAGGGGTAGAAAGATCCCAGAGGTCCACGTGTGAGCCAGGAGGTGCTTTCTTCCCATTGGGGCTTCAAGCTGGCTTATCTCCACTAAGCTATAGTTATCAGGTTTGGAGAAACAGCAAACCCTGGCTCAAATAATTGCAGAAGCTAATGTTTCCCTAGTTATCCACAATGGCTGCACACCAGGACGCCAAAGAGCCTGTAGATACCAATTGCCCTGGGGCTGCAGTACAAAAAAGGATGGGCCATCGGCAGCTTCTGGCCACATCACTCTCTGCTCAGTTCCAAAGCTCTTGGTCAAAATCTCAAAAGTCCATAGTAAGCAATTTAATCGGAGACCTCTGGTAAGAATGATTCCAAAAGAAAGAGAGGGAGGGAGGAGAAATGGCACAGAGAAAGAATGTTCAGCCTCTCCTTCCCTCTCTGTATCTGTTGCATGCTTCAACCTCACCCCCTACTTGGACTTCAGCATCTGACAGACTTCCCACAAGAGCAGGCCAACGTAACGCCCAAGCCCCTTTGCTTGCCTTCCACTTACATAGAGCATAGCAGTGCGTCTGTTAGGCCTGCGAGATAGACCAGGCAAGTACCACAACCAGGAGTCCTAGCTCTATCTTTGTTGCAAGGTCACCTTAACAGAATCTTGCAAGTCTGGAAGTACTTCTCCCCTCCTCTCCTTTTGCTCCCCAGAAAACAAGGGAGGGTCCCTTCTGAAATGTTTCCCACACCCTCCCTCCCTCTGCGGGCTGAGACATCTTCTACACCCCAGTTGTTCACCCTGTGGATCTCCCTCCTGTCTCCCCAGGTCTTTCCCACAGACCATTCCGTTGGCCCAGCCTTCCCCTCCTCGCCCTCTTTGCAGCCCTGCGAACTCACCAACCAAGGTGATGTTGACTCCCGTCAAGCCAACGTACAGCCCAATATCTGCATGGACCATGGCGACGCTGAACGATTTGTAGGTGACGTTGGCTGTCACCCTCCCACTCTGCCAGTCAGAGGTGAAGTGAACAGCTGCAAAAGACAGAAATCTCTGTCTAAAGCAAAGGGGTAGCTGAGAAGCGCCATAACTCGGGGCAGGATTCCTAAGCCCATTCACCTTCCCGCATCCCATGAATGCTCGAAAGCTAATGCTTGTGATCGAGCACCAGGGAAAAGGGCTCCCTGTCCAGCCAGGAGACTAATCCAGGCCGAAATGAAGGTAGAGACTAAAAGAAGGAACCAGAACTTACCAACAATCACTCCTCCAATAAAGAGGCTGGAGATGACCCGAACAAGCCAGTAGAGTCTCTGCGGACAAAGAGATCAGGCATCAGGAGCAGACAAAGGACTTGCAAACCAGAAAGGTGAGTCCTCACTCGCCCACAGGGGAGTTGGGGCTATCACTCTCTCTCAGCCCAGCCTACCTCACAGGGCCGTTGTTGGGGGTGGAATGAGAGGAGAGCCTACAATACACCTCTCTGAGCTCTCCGAGGAAAGGTGGGATAAAAGTGCAATAAATCAAGTGTTTGAATCCCTGGGCATGGCAGAGGCAGTCTCGATCTATGTTTGATCCCCTGGGAGCCCATCTGGGAATCAGTGTGGACTGACTCAAACGAATCATGGTTCCTATATCAACAGGTAACAAGAATAGCCCCCCCCCCCCAATTCTCTGAAAGGGAAAAATATCTTAATTTTTTATTCTACAAACTAGATCATTTTTGTTCACAGAAGTTCCAGCTTTCCCAATCTTGATCCAATCCCTACTTACACTCTTTTCATAGATATTCTTGTACATATTTTTCCTGCTCCCAATCTTGCCAATGACCACTATTGTCTGTTTAATCTGTTCCATTAAAGACCACTTCAGGGAGCAGAAAAACTTGGAAGAACTCTACATTTTATGTTCACGCAAGCAATTAACAGGCCTTTTAAAAGAAACCCGTTCTACAAGAAGAAAGAAACATGCTTCTCTGAAAGTAAAAAATTCTTGCCAGAAAAACATATTACTTTTCTCCCCACTTTTAGGTTATGGTGCAGGTCATTCTAGCTGAAGCAAATTACTCACAGCCAGAGAAGTTGTAAACTCCAACTCTTTCACATAGTTCCTCCTTGCCACTCAGTGTACCCCCCCCCCTTAGCACGTTCGCACAGCCCTTTTAATCTCTGACTGAATTAACCCATTTTTCTGGGCTCACCCGATGCACCAAACCCAAAACACAGAGCAAATTGGTGGGATTTGCACAACCTATTACGCTGGCCACCAGCTGAACCCCGGCTAACTCTAATGAGCTTAGCATGTGAGTCTTTGCTCTGGCTGGTTCAAAGATTGTGGGAAAGTTGTCCCTGATGCTTCGTTCCACCCCAGTTTGAAACCAGGCAGGCCCAATACTCACCGCTCTGCCTCGAATCCCAGGCAGAATAAGTAAGAAGCTGAAGGCGATAACCAAGAAGACGATGATAACAATTATGAGGTCAACATCAAAGATGAAGGGCTTCCTGGACTGGGGGTAGAAGGGGTAGATGCCATCAAACAAGGTCATTTTTGGCCAGAGATCTGGAAAAGAGGTGAAAGGGTGGTCAGCCAGATGTTCTCCACAGGGCAAATATAACGCAGGTCATCGAAACCTGGGCAGAAGATGGTCAGGGATCCTGGCAAAGGGTTGGGAGGAGTCGACTTCTTTGAAATTCTGGGGGTTTAGCTGAAGACTTTCGGTGCCCGGGAGAAGTCTCCAAGAGCCCCAGGTGAGCTCCAGGTTTCCAGAGAGCCCCAACTCTCTGCCTGGTGTCCAGGAGTTCCAAAGGCGCTGCTACAGCCGAGGGAGCCTCTCCCATCCAAGCTGGCTTTGTCCGAGGCTGTCCCTCGCGAGACGAAGGAGCGTCGGAGCAAAGAGGGCTCCCCACGGCCGCCTTTCTCCCTGAACGCCCTCGCCCTCCAGCCACCTCGCGGGGGGGG